TGTATTCTGGGCCAGCTGCAGCTTCCAAATGCTCAAGAGCAGCCCCATGGACAGTGTATTAGAGAATTCCAAAACAGGAGTGGCTAAGGCATGGGTGATTATGAGCAACAGCCTGCACCTGCTCTACAGGAGCTGTGAGTCCAAGGAGACCCTCACATGGCACACCTGCTCTAACTGGAGAAAACATGATGACTTAAAGATGGAAAATCTCCAGAATCAGGAGGCCTGGTGTTGGGAAGTAGGAAATAGATATCTCAGAGCAGAAATTCAAATTCCACTATGTACCTGCTCCCTGGAAGAAGGTGCTGCTACTGCTTGCCTTGCCTTGTTAAAATAGATGTTGCATCCAAGGCATGGGGCCCTGTAGAGCCTCTGTAACAGGGGTGTCAAACTGCTGGCCCATGGGCAGGATGCATCATGGGCAAAACTGCACCTACCCCATTGCTGAGAATGGAAAAAAAGTCATGATACGTCACATGACGTTGTGAGTTTGAGACCCCTGTTCTATACAGTAGTGCCTTATCTGAGTGGGAGAGAGTAGAAGTGTGAGGAATCCTTCTCTAAAAGATGGATTTGGCCAATTGAAAACAGTATTCCATTCTCCAAGGAAGGAACTATAAACCCTCCTTCACCCACCTATAGAAATAATACTATCTGCCATCTTTCCACACACATCCTACTCTGCCCATATCAGTGCTCCTATTTTTAGTCTCTTACCATGCCCATTTCCCTTGCAGTTTCTCCAGAATCAACAGATGCAGAGGCAGAACGGCGACAGTTAAGGTCAGAACTCCCTGGGGATCTCAGTGGCTGCATTCACACGTCCATTTACTGAGTGATCCCATTTTCTGGGCTTGCAAAATATATTAAACAGTATACTAGTTGAACAAGCGGGTCTGCTTAAAATGCTAAATCCTGAACAAAAGTCAGCAAAACATTGCAGCTGTGTGTCTTATGTCACCTGAGATGTTCAAACCAATAAACCACCAGGTTCACCTTGGCTGTCTTCCAAAAGCTTTTCTAGCCAGGGTTATAGCCAAAGGTGAGATCCTTGAACGATGCGGTCTCACTCTAACCCTAGTCTATTATGTTAACCGGGTCAGTGAGTGATGCTGGTTGCTTGTTTCCTCCTTGTCTCACCTCCTCCCGCTCTGCTGTTGTACAGAGCCAGCGGGTCATTCCTCTCAACATTGCCAGGGGAAAATCAGGGGCAGATAAGTGGCACATAGAAAGGCAGCAGGCTTAAGAAGGAAAATAATACAGATTATGTCTCTCGGGTGCAAACCCTCTGGCAAAAGCTGAGAAATGGGGATTACCTTTGCTCCTTGAATTTTTTGGGAAAGCTTGGAGATTTTCTCCACTTTTTGTTTTTTTTTTTAGATGGCGTGTACAATTTTCACATATTTTTTTTTCCTCCTTAGAATGGGAGGAAACCACCTTTGCTTATAGTTTTAGCCCATTTAGTCAAACGCTATGGGTTGTTTCCTGTGCCAGACTGGATACTTTTAACAACAGGTGGAAGTGTTGAAGGATGAGCCTTTCTGCCCTGGGTACAAATGGGGCTCACTATGGCAGAAAAGAGAGATGCTTCTCTGCTTTGGAGTTTAGATAAAGATTTCACCTGTCCAATCTTGCCCAACTCTAGGGGGTACTACTAATTTACATTTCTTAGCCGAGGGAGCCAGTGTTGTCTGATGATTCTTCTGTGGTCCTGTGGCCAGCATGACTATATACCGAGATGCACGGAATGCTATTACTTTCCCACTGAAGTGGTACCTATTTATCTACTCTCATATGCAGACTTCAAACTGCTAGGTGTGTAGGAGCTGGGGCATGTAATTGTAACTCACCCTGTCACCTGGCGCTCAGGTTGTAGGTTTCCATCTGACAAGCTCAACGGCTGAGCCATTGCATGCCAAAGGGAGCTTAGATAGGCTTGGCTATTATGGGAAGCCAAGAGAAATTTGGTTGATTGAAATTTCCAATACCTGGGGGGACGCAGACTTACATTTTTTTACACTATTAATGCCAGGTTAAATTGATGGGAGAGCTGCCATGCCCATACCGGCTGTACCCCCGGACAGGGGGATCTTCCTTGTTTCCTGCCATTCTGCAAAGATATCTCTTCATCTCTGTGTACGCCCTTCTCGGTGACCAGCTCTGGGTCTTGACCAACCCATGGAACGATCTATGGAACTTGGAAGGCAACAGACCAATTACTTCATCTCCCTGTTTTGCTTCTGAACACTAGAAAAACCTAATGGACGCTTCTTTTCACTTCCCAGTGAGATCATCAACAAGGGCAGAACCAAAGGAATCATCAGCTGTACCCTGGAGAAGATGAAGGGGCACAAGTACTAGGATATTGGAAGCTGGGGAGTAGAACATGGAGAGAGAAGGTTCTTCAACATAGTCCAACTCTGAGAGAGGGTGAAAAAACAGACAGGAGAAATTTTATGAAGTCTTCAGAGAGACTTGACGGCTGAGATAGGTGTTTAAATACATGGTCTGGACCAGCCTGGTGACCTGAGGAGTGGCACATGTCTTTTGGGCCCCGATTCTGTTTGCAAGGGGAGGGAAGCAGTGCCAGTGTTTCTTGAGGGCCTAATGCGTTACTGTGATTCTTGCTTCTCTGAGTATCAATCACATCATGCACTTTGATGGGGTCAATAACTAGACTTCAGTATCAACCTATGGCCCAAGAGAATGAAATGTACCAGTTGCCTTGGATTTCAGGCAGTCTGGAAAATGTGGTCTCCAAGTAGAACCACAACACTCAATGACTCTGGGCTGCTTACAACCAAAAATAAAACAAAACCACAAAGAATCACCTAAAGCCCCAGAGCCAATAGAAAGTATAAATGAAAAATAACCCACACAGCAGGGACCCAAACTTCACTGCTGGGTGTTTAATAGCTTCCTGAACTTCATCCTGGTGGGCCAATTGTTTGATCCTGGTTCAACCAGAATGCCTTGGTTTGGCCAGATATTTGTATCTTGGCCTCTTGCTCAAACTTCCAGGAGAGACAGACTGAGAGTGTGCTCTTTCATCAGGAAAGGAGTCACAATTCCCTCTACGCCTCTTCAACTATGGCAAATACCTGATTTTTTTTTAAAAAAAATTATTTGAAAAGATGAGACTCTTCACGATCAAGTTCTTTTTATCTTTCTCCAATCCTTAGTTCATGTAGAGACATGAATGTTTCATTCCTCCACTCCTTCATTTCAATTGCTATCCTCCAGGGAAAGGTGGGCCATTAAACATGGACCTCTGGGAGTTCCTTGGTTAATGTGGGCGATAGCCTCTGTAGTAGGGAGTTCTGGGAGAGAGGAAGTAAAGTATATAGACCAGGGGTCTTCAAACTTGGCCCTTTTATGACTTGTGAACTTCAACTCCCAGAATTCCTCAGCCGGCACACCTGGCTGAGGAATTCTGGGAATTGAAATCCACAAGTCATAAAAGGGCCAAATTTGAAGACCCCTGATATAGACAGTACTCCTGCCCACTTGGCTTCCCTTTGCATATGCTGGTCCATATTTGCTCACATGCCCTGGGGGTGGGAGCACTGGTATCTCTGCCCCTGCATTGTAGGACATCCTATTCAGCCATCTAACATGACTGTATTGCCCCACCCAGCATTTGCATATCACCCAGGATATCATGAATAATACTGTCTGAGGTATTGTTGCAGGTGAGGAAGGCTGTCCAAGAAGAGGCTTGACTACTACCCCCCTGCAAAGTTGTAGTAAGGAGCTGGCAGAAGGCTGCCACGTGGGGACGGGCTTTGACTCCATTTCCTTTCCCCAGGTTATTTTGGAGAAGGAAAGCATCAACTTGGACCCGATGTTTTTCTATTCTTTCATCAATGACATTGTCAAGGTGAGGAAAGTCACTTGCCGCATTCAGGGTGAACAACCTGGCCAAGCATTCGACTTCTTTCCCTCATCAGAACACTTTGCTCTGAGGCTTCCCCCCACCCCCAAAGGTGGGTATTTTTGCTGCAAATTTCTTCTCCCTGCATGGCATCTTGGGGATCCTCTCTGAACTGGGGATCAGCCTCAAGCAGTCCTCTCTTCCTCCTTTGGGGATTTCTGTTTTGCAAACCTAAGCAGAAGACCTTTTGACATGTAGAAATCCAACAGGCAAAGCCTTTGGCCATTGCCCAAAGAATTGTCTCCCGTCACGGCGCAGTTAATTACAGAGCAACACGCAGAAATGGTTTCCCTAAATAGAATTGAGCAGGCTGGGAGGCTCCGCGTTGATTGCTTTGGATCTAGACCAACTCTGCCTTTGCCTAATCTCTGACGTGCACGGCCTCGGCTGTCGCAATTTAGCAACCTCTTCGGTTGCCAAACCATCTCTCTCCCTCCTCTTCTTGAAAAATCGCGTCTGCGGAATACGTATTACATTTCTGGTGTTATAATGTGCCTAATCAATTTGATTTGATTGCCTATTTTTCCCCGCGTCCACTGATCCTAACACATGATTTGATCTTCATCATCGTCGGTCAGTCTCTTGTTCCGAGTTATTGCCTTAAAAAGTGAATCGTTCCTTTGTTTTAGAACAGGGGTTCTCAACCTTGGCAACTTTAAGACTTGTGGACTTCAACTCCCAGAATTTCTCAGCCAGCAAAGCAAAGCAAAGCTGGCTGAGGAATTCTGGGAGTTGAAGTCCACAAGTCTTTAAAGTTGCCAAGGTTGAGAATCCCTGTTTTAGAAGGCGAAGGAGATCCCAAACGAAGAACACTCGAGTCCAAACCCGGTTACGCCCCGGAACGCAGAGGTTTTGCACGTGCTCTAGGGCCAGCGTGCTCCTCTCTTTTTATCTATAGCTGGCAATTCCAAAGATTCCCGAGCTGCTGACTAGAAGAGCCTTGAGTCATATTACAACTCGGCTCATGTATGTGGAAAAACAGGGTGATTGAACGGAACACTGCCCTTAGTATTTTCCCAATCCAAAGCAAGATAGCAACGCCTCTAGTCTAGCAGGCTTGAAGTTAAAGCCACACACGCGCATGCACGCATTTCCAAAGGCAGCGGGAAACTGTCCGTCCCTTGCGGGCGTAGCTGCGTTGCCCAGTCTGTCCTTTGGTCGCTCAGCTTTTTTTTGTTTTTGGCGCGGCAAAAAGAAGGGAGGGCAAGTATGAATCGCTTGCTTAGCCGAGACCCCGTGGATATTGAGGTACCCACTTTGCCAAACGGGGCAGGGGGAGAAAAGGGGCGAAAAGAGGAACGCAGATTAAGTGGGGAAGTCTGGGAGAAGAAACTTGCCAGCTAGCCAGCCAGAGGAGGCTGCCAGCTCGGAGCGGCGAGGATAGCTTTTTAAAGATCTTTCTACTCGACTTTCTGAGGAAGTTTAAAAAACAACAACACAAAATGTAGCCCTTATCATTGATGGCTACTTGACAGTGCGTAGCGGGTCGCTGTGAATTTGAAAAAAAAACAGGGTTGGTTTCCCTACTGAGAAACAAAAACTGAGTTTTCCTCCCCTGGGCGGTGGCACTAAATTTTAGAGAAAATATAGGGAGATAAATGGAGCGCTACTTCATGGATAAATGCTTTGATTTGGTTCCCCCCCCCCTCCATCCGCGGCAGACTCCAGGACACAATTAGGGGACGGGTTGGCTTCCTGTTCCCTCTTCTCATGCGAGTATCTTTTGAGGGGAAAGAAACACCCCGAACAAAACAACCTGGTATTTTGTGGTTTCAGAACTCCATTAGAGCCTTGTTGTGAAGATAAAGGGCTTTTCGACACCTCTGAGGGAAATCCCAAAAGTGCTTTCTCTCCCCCTGTGGTGAAAATCTAATAATCTTTAAAGAAGAAGAAAGCCCTGATGTGCAATCCTGCGCATATTTACTTGAAATTAAATCTCATTATGTTCAATGAAGATCACTCTCAGTTAAGTGTGTCTAAGATTGCGCCTTAAAACTGGCATCCTGAGTAGGTCTCTTCTGTCTTCCTAATAACAGTGATACCCTGGAGAAAAAAAAGACTGAAGCATTTTCCATGTTAAAAAAAAACAACACCTCAGGATGTCATATGCCTTCCCTTATCTTTAAATCAGATTCCTTGCAACTGAAACTGCAGCTATTTGCTTTGGCTCTTTGCTCTTTATTTTATGGAAAAATACCAGACAGAATGGGATAGGTTACCCCGGGGTGCTCCTTCTATCTTCTTTAATTCTATTTTCCCCACAAACACAAACTGCTTATTGCATGCTATCCACGAAGCAGCCAGAGGTTGCAGAAATATAGTGGTGCAATTGTTGTTGTTGTTAATTGCGAAGTCGTGTCCGACCCGTCGCGATGGTGCAATATGGTAGGTCAAATACTGTTTTAAGAGTGTGACTGGAGATACAGGTTCAGAAGGCTTTCTAGGAAAAAGGATGATAGTGATCACATAAGGGTTGTTAGTATCAAAAATCAAAATTTCTAATGAGAAGATTAGAATGCAGTTCCTTGAGACTAGCATGCCTTTCATTTATTTTCATATCTTTTCTTGCCAACCAGTAAAACATCTCTAGAAATATTTATTGATGGATTCACTTTATATGGCCACCTATGTCGCTTATATGATTCTGGGCAACCAACAACTGTAAAATAAATATTTATGTATTGAATATATATAAAGTTGTGTTAATCCCTGCTAAAGAGAAACTAACTTAACTCCAACTGCTTGTGAAGCTAAAATGAAACAAACCTTTAGATGACACTGACTGTTAACTCAACAGTTTTGGGAAACTTTGAACATACATATTTGGGTGGTTTTTTCAAGTATTGTGATTGGTTAAGGCCCTGTGGGCTCAGTATAAATTACAGGCAATTGCCTGCAGTTCTCCAGTTCTAGTTTGAGTCAATAAAAAACATTGTAACTATGCTGGTCTGCTCCTTGCCTACTGAAGCCCACTACACAATATAAATAACAATACATACAATTGTTAAAAAAATAAAATAAAAATATAAAAACACAGCTGCTCAACACACTCAGCATTCACTAGTTGAGCCCTTTTCCATTCATTTTTCTTTTTTTGCAGTGGTGGTGGTGGTGTGTTGTCAACAGGAAATTACTGTACTGTAACTTCCTTCTATTTACTGAGACAAAGGCACATTTTGACAACGGTGCTTGCTATTAGTATACCAGTAAATGAAAGGCAGACACAGAATCATTTTAATTCTTAGTGAAGTAAATGTACAGTAAAATAAACAATATTTTTTCATTTTCTTTAGTAGCTAGGTGGCATTATGCAAATAGGCACATGTTCTGAAATTCATGGAAATGAAAGTATACATCTCTTGATGAGTCTCCTGCCCATTTAGAAACACAATTGTATACTTTACCCTTTGAACATATAATGAGGTACACACTGAACTGAAGCCAGCATAGTTATTACATAAAGTCAAAAGAGATCTTGCATTATCCAGTTGAAGAATTCATCTAATTGGATTGTCTGCATTTGAATTTCATACCTTTTTTTTAATAGTTTCAGACTGTAATTCAACTGCACCAAAGTTGCACTTTGTTCCTAACATTACTCAGACAGTTCCTTCATTTGAACTAATGAAATGTCATCATCTGAATTGTTTTGTTCTCTTCTGTTTTTTTGACACATAACATTATTATTTTGTCTGTATTACTTTATTACTGTCTGAATTGCTGTAGAATCTCATTGGTCAGATAATTAACTTCCAGTAAAGTATGTTCTAGAATTCCCAGCTAATTTTGCCAAGGCTACTTTAGAATTACCAGGGTAAATTCTGAGAAGAACCTTAAGCTGGATCCAAACTTAGTTACTATTGGTGTTTGCCCATTGAGAGCAATGGGATATATAATAGTCACACTTTAACAGAATGACAGAGTTGGAAGAGAGCTTTGAAGTCTTTTAGCCCAACCCCTTCTCAAGCAGGAGCCCCTGTACTATTTCAGACAAATAGCTGTCCAATTTCTTCATAAAAACCTCCAATGATGGAGCACCCTGCTCTTCAATTTCTGAAGGCCGTTCGTTCCACTGATTAATTGTTATAACTGTCAGAAATCTTCTTAGTTCTAGGTTGCTTCTCTCCTTGATTAGTTTCCATCCGTTGCTTCTTGTCCTGCCTTCAGGTGCTTTGGAGAATAGCTTGACTCCCTCTTCTTTGTGGCAGCCCCTGAGATAATTGGAGCATTGCTATCATGTCACCCTTAATTCTTCTTTTCATTAAACTAGACATACCCAGTTTCTGCAATCCTTCTTCATATGTTTTAGCCTCCAGTCTCCTAATCATCTTTGTTGCTCTTCTCTGCACTCTTTCTAGAGTTTTTTTTTTATATCGTTGTAACTCCTACACTCCCCTTTATGGATTACTGCCTTGTGGTGAAGGGGCTTGCGTAACTCAATGAAGCTATAAGCTATGCCGTGCAGGGCCACCCAAGACGGACAGGTTATAGCAGAGAGTTCTGACAAAATGTGATCCACTGGAGAAGGAAATGGCAAACCACTCCAGTATCTTTGCCATGAAAACCCCATGGACAGGACTAAAAGGCAAAAAGATATGACGCTGGAAGATGAGCCCCTCAGGTTGGACGGTGTCCAATATGCTACTGGGGAAGAGCAGAGGGCTAGTACTAGTAGCCCAGAAAGAATGAAGCGACTGGACCAAAGCCGAAAGGACGCTCAGCTGTGGATATATCTGATGGTGAAAGGAAAGTCCGATGCTGTAAAGATTTTTTCTTTATAGGAACCTGGAATGCAAGATCCATGAATCAAGGCAAGCTAGATGTAGTCAAAAAAGAGATGACAAGACTGAACATCGACATCTTAGGAATCAGCGAACTAAAATGGACAGGAATGGGTGAATTTAACTCAGATGACCATCAGGTATACTACTGTGGGCAAGAATCCCTCAGAAGAAATGGAGTAGCCTTCATAGTCAATAAAAGAATAGGAAAAGCAATACTGGGATACAATCCCCAAAATGACAGAATGATCTCAATTCGAATCCAAGGCAAACCATTCAATATCACAGTAGTCCAAATCTATGCCCCAACCACTGGTGCTGAAGAGGATGAAATTGACCGGTTCTATGAAGCCCTACAGCACCTTATAGAATTAACACCAAAAAATGATGTCCTTATCATCATGGGGGATTGGAATGCTAAGGTAGGAAGCCAAAAGATAACCGGAATAACAGGCAAGTTTGGCCTTGGAGTACAAAATGAAGCAGGGCACAGGCTAATAGAATTTTGTCAAGAGAATACGATGGTCATAACAAACACTCTTTTCCAACAACCCAAGAGACGGCTCTACACATGGACATCACCAGACGGTCAACATAGAAATCAGATTGACTATGTGCTCTGCAGCCAAAGATGGAGAAGCTCTATACAGTCAGTAAAAACAAGACCAGGAGCTGACTGTGGCTCAGATCATGAGCTTCTCGTTGCAAAATTTAGGCTTAAATTGAAAAAAGTAGGGAAAAGCACTAGGGCACTCAGGTATGAACTAAATCATATTCCTGATGAATATATAGTAGAGGTGACAAATAGATTTAAGGAATTAAATCTGATAGACAGAGTGCCTGAAGAACTATGGATGGAAGTTCGCAACATTGTACAAGAAGTAGCAACTAAAACCATCCCAAAGAAAAAGAAATGCAAGAAAGCAAAATGGCTGTCTGAGGAAGCTTTGCAAATAGCTGAGGAAAGAAGGGAAGCGAAAGGCAAAGGAGTAAGAGAAAGATACACCCAATTGAATGCAGAATTCCAGAGAGTAGCTAGAAGAGATAAGAATGCCTTCTTAAATGAACAGTGCAAAGAAATAGAAGAAAACAACAGAATAGGGAGGACCAGAGATCTCTTCAAGAAAATTGGAGCTATGAAGGGAACGTTTCATGCAAAGATGGGCATGATAAAGGACCAAAATGGCAGAGACCTAACAGAGGCAAAAGAGATTAAGAAGAGATGGCAAAACTACACAGAAGAACTATACAAGAATGAGCTTAACATCCCAGATAACCACAATGAGATGGTCACTGACCTCGAACCAGACATCCTAGAATGTGAAGTGAAATGGGCCTTAGAAAATCTGAGCAACAACAAAGCTAGTGGAGGTGACAGTATTCCAGCTGAGCTATTCAAAATCTTAAAAGACGATGCAGTAAAAGTGCTACACTCAATTTGCCAGCAAATTTGGAAAACTCAACAGT